ATGAGGCCTCCTCCAACCCCTAATAGCCTCACCCTAGCCACCGGTGTAATAAACAAAACAAAACACAAGCCCCTAGGCTACAACATAACTATAAGCCACCTGGCTATAACCACATTGCTCCGACATCTTAGAGCTGCCTTCTGTTATCTTGCTTAGGCAGTACCTGCGGTTGTCACTGCTTCTCGTATCATGGCTGAAGGAGCTCCTGCCTTTCTGGCTGCTGGCAGGGAGCTGCCCGCCCGGCCCTCAGCCCGGGCCTTTTAAGCCCTGCCTCCTACAGGCAGCTGACCGCTGGCAAGTGTGGGTCATTTGCTCCTTCCAGTTGCCCTGGCAACCCACAGGTGGACTCCTATTCCCTGCTAGGGCTCTTTTCCCCAACAGTTTCCGCCCTTTAGGAGCAGGGCACCTCAGTGCTCTGCGACAATGAGCGATGGCATGTGTTTTACAAGTTTTTGTAGAGAGATTGTGTGCAGGGAGGGACAGGATCCCAGAGTAGACTTTCAGCAATCTAATCTAACACTGTTAAATTAATTTCTTTCATTCATAGTTAATATAAAAATTGTGGTTTGCAGGTGTGAAAGAGGATGAGGAGGAGCCTCATAGCTTAGAGTCCTTCTCTTTCTACCTTAGTGAACCTTTGAGTAAAGAACGAGTAGAGGCATTCAGTGATGGTGTTTATGCTATTGTAGCAACCCTGCTCATTTTGGACATATGGTAAGACTTTGGACCAATTGATATACCTTATATTGTTTATGTGGGTGTGGACACATGTAACAATTGAATCATTCCTAAATGTCACTGGAAGCTAATTCAAAATAGTCCCAGGTCAGGGTGTGGGCACATGTAACAAATAAGTCATTCCCAGAGTAGCCAATTGCAGCAATGGGAGGGTTTAAAGAGGTGGTGAGGAGTGATGAAGTGTGGGATGCCTAGAGAATCCACCATACCCGTGTCATGAAACACTTAGCGCTCACATGTTATATTGACCCAGTTTGCAGTGAATGGGTTCAAAAGAATACTTGATTTTCCAGGTACCCTTTTGAACAATTTTAGGCAGTTTTGCAGCAGTTTACCAGGCTTGGAATCTGGACACTACAGATTTAAACTTCATTTAAGCTAAGTGGTACATGTGTTGTACCCTCTGCTTCAGTGCACATGCACGTAAGTTTTTCAGATATCAAAAGAGAATGGAATTATATTAATATGATTTCTATAAACAATTGCCCTTGTTACCTGAAAGGGAAACGGCATTATGGATTATTAGCAGAAAAACTCCATGCCAAAATTCTGGATTAATAGACACCACCCTTCTTTAATATGGTTATATTACACCTAATGTTTTCCCATTCTCAGAAGTTTTGGGGAAAAAAATGTCTTATCAGTCACATGCTTAGAGAGTCAGACAGGTTCTCTCAGGCAAAGGGTTAAATTGGCTTCTAGATTCTAATTTTCATATCAAAAGAAATAACTTAAGTCCCACTTGAGAACTTTATTGCTGACTAGTGAGTTGCCCATCAAGAATGGTGGGGGGAGCAGGGACGGAACACTGCCGCCCACCACCTGACTTCGCCACCGCCTCCCAGGAGCAGGGGGGGGAGATTACCCCACTGTCCGCTCCTTCCCCCTCTGTCAGCACCCCACACTGCCACTGCCTCCAAGTGGTGGCCTCACCCCACCCCCAGCCCTGCTTCTCGGAGGTGGTGTGGGGTGGTGGCAGTGCGGTGCTGGCCTTTCCCTCCTGCTCCGTCTCCATCAACATTCTTGATGCACAGTTTGCTAGATAACGGAATGTGGGGGGAGGCGAGGCCAGCGCTGCACCGCCACCATCCCACACTGCCTCCACCTCCAAGGAGCAGGGCTGTGGGGGGGCGGCAAGGCCAGCAGCATTGGCCTTGGCCCCCCACCCCCAATCCATCCCCTCCATCCTCACCATCATGGTAGCTCTCTGCCGTCCCACTCTGTCCCCACCATCCCCCTGTCTGTCTGTGCAGAGCATTCTGATTGGTTGTTTCAGTAAGCATTGTGATTGGCTGCCGAGACAATGCTCCAAGAGCATTACGGACAGAGAGACAGACAGACGGACTAAGCCATATATATATATATATATGAGAGAGAGAATACCCTTATTTTTAGATGACCCAAAAAGAATCCCATTTTGCTTTTAGATCCTAAGATGAATTTGTGGGGCTTTTATTGAGAAGACTTACTTTTTAACTTGCAAACTGGATGCCATTGAAAGACCTAGAAGCCCATCCTGTCATTCAGAGTAGAACCTTGCACAATTACCTGTTCTTTGAGTTATAACACTATACCATTATTATGCAAACAAAAATAATAATTTTTCTCTCAACAGTGAGGATAATGTTCCTGATGCCAGAGAAGTTCAAGACAAATTCCATAATAGTCTTATTGAAGCTTTAAGCAAATATGGACCAAGTTTTCTTGCCTACTTTGGCTCGTTTGTAACAATTGGGCTTCTTTGGTTTGTGCACCACTCACTTTTCCTTCACATAACAAAAGCAACTAGACTAATGGGACTGCTTAACACACTATCATTGGCTTTCATTGGTGGGCTTCCTCTTGCTTATCAGTTAACCAGTGAATTTGCAGAAAAGTCTCGCAATGAAATAGAAACTATTCAGGTCAGCTGCGTTATCACTTTCTTTGCCAGCATCTTTCAGTTTGCAATTTGGATCACAGCTCTCTTCTATGAAAGGGAAACGTTGCATCCTTTTGCTAGATATGGTGGCAAAGAACATGCCTTCATGTTTGCCAAGCTTGCCCTCTACCCTTGTGTCAGCCTTGGTGCCTTCTTTCTAACGTGCTTGTTAAGTAAATTCAGCACAGAAATTTTTCACCTCATGCAGATCATAGTGCCCTTTGCTTTCCTTGCCCTGCGTATCTTTGTCAGAATCTCTTTGGTTGTCATAAGGTCTATAATAAATCTTTCCCAACGGAAGGATGTGTCCTTGGAAGAAGAGGAAGCTTGTTTGTCTCCTGCAGAAACGCTATCGTAGATTTCCGTGCTGTGCATGTGAAACTGTAGCGTATTTTAATTCTAACTTGCATTATTTTGGTGTACTGGAAGGCCTTGGTGTATAATAGATACTGGTTATAACTGGGGCCTCTTTAATTTTCACTCAACTTCTTCAGAAGTGAAAGATACTAAAACTTGGTTGAGTGCAGGAGCTAAAAAACAGCCTGCTTTCTATTCTTCATGGACTAGTGGTGTAGCAAAATTGCTGCCTGAAGCATCACTGCAGTGACAATTGCTTTAGAAACACATTTAAAAGGTAAGCGGCATTATCGCCTTGTTCTAACAAAGCTTACAGAAATCAGTGGCCCCAACAGCAGACTGGTTGAAAGCAATTTGCTGCAGTTAGGTAGGGAGGTAGAGGGCATCCTGGGGGAGGACCCAAAAAACCTTTTTTCTTTTTCTTTTTTTTCTTTTTATCCTATTTAGGTAAATACCCATCCCTTCCTCCCCACTTCCCCCCATCTCCCGTTGCCTCCCCCAGTTTCCAAAGTTTAAACCTTCAACCTTCCATAAGGTGTGTACAGAAGTGCTCTGTGCACATTTTACAGCACTATAATTTAGAGTAATTTTTATAGCACTATGAAGTTACAGTGCTCTTAAACAGAAGTTCAGTGTTTGGTAGTGGGGAGGAGAGGGCTCGAGCATCCCTGTACTTTCCAGGCTACAAGGCAGGTGGTGCTCCACAGCTTCCTGGGGCTTCTCCACTGGACAAAAATGTGACTAGTATACAGAAGTTATTTAAAGCACTGTAGGTTGCTAAAGTGCTGTAAAACGCCGTACTTCAAATTTAATACCTCATTTAACAAGGATTGGTTTAAAGTGCTATGCCCATTTTTAAAATGCTGTAAAGCCATGCACTTTTGTTAAGTCAGCAATAAAGTGCTTTAAAAGGTGAAAAAGCAATTTCTGTACACACCTACAAAGCCCATCTGTTCTTTGGCTGCACTTCAAAACCTTCTTTCTTTGGGCTTGCTCTGCTGAACATGTGCTTAAATTATACAGAGGCCACACATTCCCCTCCGATCTCCCCAGACTGCCTTAACAAAAATGAAAGTCCATTGTCAGTTCCATTGTTGTTGGGTTTTTTTAATATATTAAATGCAATTGTTTCAAGGGGGTTGAAACGAAGAAATTTTTCAGGGAAGAAACAAAGAATATTCAGGAAAGAAATTTTAAGATCTGTGGCACCATCAGTAGCTTTGACTCTTGTTTCTGAAAGAAATCTGCCAGACAGAGTAATGCAAGAGGGGTCCATGAAGTTTTGATTCCTCTTTTCTGTCTCTGCAAAACCTGTGGGGACCAAAACAAAGAGGGAACTTCTCCATCAGGCCCCATAGGGAGGTCCAGTATATGTGTCAGCATC